CTCTGCATATTTTGCATGTCTCGCTTAGTTAACACACCCGATTCAGATAACCAGCTCGTTAGAAGTGAGCTATGTGCATGAACTGTGTTCCGATCGATATGATCCCTACACAGTGTTCATTGCTCCCTACTCCCTGAGCAGGGGAAATCCGTTGAAGTTTACTTCTCTTTGGAACATTCATTCATGGATTTGCGCAGCGTCTTCACACAGACGAAACTTACTAGAAAAGTGTGACATAATATACCTCTGTAAATAAATACTATTTAAATTTACGTCTCGCACACTTTAATGCCCTTTGTATGGAACATTTACACTCGCTTCGAACTGGAATCATGGCAGAATATCCGGTGATGTCCACTTCGCAGAGCACTTACGGTCGAATAGAACAAACGTCGCACGTGATAAGAGATACATATGAAATGTGCAGGGGGGCGGGGGACGACTGGAATTGGGAACCGTTGATGTAGCCTATTGTAGTAATGTTGTCTCTGGTATTCAGGTCTGTGAGCGTATATGCGTTCAGGGGGCATGGCTTTGGACGGCGATTGCAGGGAGGGTGGGACGTTCGCTTTCAGTGCTATCAGGCTAAAGTTAGCATTTTCCAAGATCTCCTACTGCACCTTTAAGTATTCCTGACAATGTCTATGCATGCTCCTGATGAGATGGCGGATGGTGGCCTGGGGGATCTCCTGCCAGACCTGGATCAGGGCAACACTGAGCTCCTGGAGAGTCTGTGGTGTGACTTTGTGGGTTCAGATGCTCCGATAATTTTTCAGAGGTTCTCAATTGGATTTGGATCTGGACAATGTGAGGGCCAGTCAGTGGCATCAGTGCCTTCGTCATACAGAAACTGCCTGTACATTCTGGCCAAAATGAGGCCAGGCATTTTAATGCACCAGGAGGAAGCCAGGGCCCACTGCACTAGCACAAGGTCTGACAGTGGCTCTGAGGATTTCATTCTGGTACCTAATAGCAGTAAGGGTACCATTGGCTAGGACATGGAGATCTGTGCAACCCTCTAAAGATATTCCTCCCCAGACCACCACTGGCCCACTGCCAAAACGGTCATGCTGGATGATGTTGCAGACAGACTCCAGACTCTTTCATGTCTGTCACATGTGCTCAGTGTGAACCTGCTCTCATTCGTAAGAGAATGGGGAGAACCTGCCAATTCCGGTGTTCTCTGGTAAATGCCTAGCAAGCTACATGGTGTTGGGACTGTGAGCACAGGTTCCACTAGAGGACGTCAGGCCCTCATGCCACCCTCATGGAGTCAGTTTGGTCAGAAACATGCACACCAGTAGTCTACTGGAAGCCATATTGGAGGGCTCTGGCAGTGCTCCTCCTGTTCCTCCTTGCAGAAAGGAATAGATACTGGTCCTACTACTGGGTTGTTGCCCTTCTATGGCCCTGTCCAGCTCTCCTTGTGCTCTCCTCGGAGGTATCTCCTCCATGCTCTTGAAACTGTGCAGGGAGTCACACCGAACTTCCTCGCGATGACACGTATGGATGTGTCATCCTGGAGGACCTGGACTGTGCAACCTGATTGGGTTGCAGACACTGCCTCATGGCATGAACCCTAACAAAACACAAAACTAGGGACCACACATTTAGGAAAGAAAAGAATAGAGCATTGTCTGTGGCCAACATCGGCTAACCATCACCTTTTTGGGGGTTGTCTTGTTGTTGCCTCTCTAGTGCACCTGTTGTCACTTTCATTTGCACCAAATAAAGTGAAACTGATTTACAATCACTTATGCTTCCTAACTGGTCTGCTCGGTTTTATCCTGATTAAAGCTGTAATACAGTAGAATACATGATTGCATTGTAGCATTTTTGTAAAGTAATTGTTTAATTTGTAACAGTAAGAACTGTTTGCCAGCTAGTATTGCTCGCTACCACAGCAACTGCATGCGCGTCCATGTTTAACGCTTCTTGTAGCTATTTGGAAAATATCTGTCTGTCTATACACATAAAGTGTATAATTGGAACACAGTTCATTGATGGAGCTGACGAGCTGATGATCTGAATCAGGTGAGAGAGAGATGCAAAGCAGAGCGTGTGCAGAGCAGGGGGATGCGAGGAACAGGATTAATGGTGCGTTCAAGACCATGGTGCGCACATGAACACCACCACAAAGTCGTTATTACGAGTGGGAAACTCATAATTTTCTTTATAGGGGTCATCGGATGCCCATTTTCCACAAGTTGATATGATTCTTTAGGGTCTTAATGAAAAGTCTAAACATGCTTTGGTTAAAATTTCTCAATGGTAGTGTAAAACAACACCCTTTTTACCCTGTCAAAATCAGCTCTTTTCAGAGCAACCTGTTTTGTTGCATGTTCCTTTAAATGCTAATGAGCTCTGC